TTTATAAAATGAAATTAAATAAAAATAAAAAGTGAAAAAAATAATAATTAAATAAAATAAATAAAATAATAAAAATCATCAAAAAAATAAACAAATTATTAAATTATATAATTAAAAAAAAAAAACTGTTTTCTACAGGTCAGCACGAAAAAATAAAAAAAATATTGGGTGCAACTTAAAAATCAAGAAATAATAAGAATAGAGTTTAAATAGTTTCGGCTAATTTTAAAAGCATTTTATATATCATTTCATATAAAGTTTATCTTAAAATGTGTTGCAAGAATTTCTTATAAAATTTTTAAAAAAAGCAGATGGAAAGTCGGTAGTTTATTTAGATATGTTATTGTTATTCTAAAACAACAACTATAATCAGCAACCCTACTTTTTTTCGCCTTATTCATACAACATAATTAAGACCGTAAAGGAAAAGAAAACATTTCAGTAGTTTAAAATATTTTTGTTAGGCTGTTTAAAATTTTGCTGAGTAGTTTAAAAAAAAAATGCGTTCCCCACTTATAGATAAATATCAAAACCAGTGTCTTTTTTAATTTATTTTATCACAAAGTATTTAAATGTGTACTTTGTCTATATTCTATTGCAAAACGATTTCAAAAGTTATACACCATATTTCAAATAATATTTTTTTAAAAAGTAAGTAGCAGCGTAGAAACTAATCTGATTCAAAATATTGAATGATGTGAAAATTTTACACATAGCTAAAATTTTATTCAAAGTAACACTTTCCGTTAAATATTTTGAGATATAAGAAGGTTAAGTAGGTAAGACGGATAAACAAGGATTGGAGAAGCAAAAGTATTTGAGGTTTTTATCTTTTTCTATATTACAAGGATAGATGGCAGCACTAAAATTTCCTGTCGACTGCAAAATTTTTTTTAAAATTTTTCATACATTATTAAAATTATACAAGCTATCTGAGTTCCTGTTTTTAGATCGAATCATTTACTTTAACCATTTGTTTATTTTAATCATTATTTATTCATTATTTTATTTTTTATAAACTTCACTGTAAATAGCAAACCAATAAATAAAAGAAAAAGAATTGAAATTTTTCGAAATCTTTCAATGAAGGAATATCACACATTAAGATATTTTTAATTCATTCACTATAAGCCACACACTCGTAACCAGCAAACAAAATTTTTGTTCATCTAAATACTTGTTCGAAAAAATAAATTTACAAAGGACTTACAATGCTACCTGTCAAACAATTTTGTACTGAAACCAGGCATTTAAGGAGAAATAATATATGCTTTTTCACATGAATTTTTTCCTAGAATTTATTTATTTATTATTTTTTTTAAATGTCACTGTTTTCATGTTGTAACTTTGTGAAAAGTGTTTAAATTATTTAAAACATCTTGTACAAAAAGTGGAGTCACATTCGTTACGCAGTTTTTATATTATTATTTACAAAATATATTGTCATTGATGATTGAGCACCAGATTTTCCACCAGGATTAAGGGAATTTTTTATATAATGTTAATCAATTGATCCAAAAGTACTCTTGTCTTCAGGGTTAGGTTCACAATTACAAGGCTTAACATGTATTAATTATTAATTAAGTCTCAAATCCAATATGGACACGCTGTTTAACGCAGAGGATAAAAATAATATTAGTCTAAGAAATAGATGAAAGGTTATAATCCAAACATGGGTAGAAATCTATCTAATAGTTCACAAAAAATATCGATTTCAAAGCACCATTTTTGTGTTAATTTCGTTGCTGTTTTTTAAAATTCTAATGGTGATGAATATTATATTAGGTGATGAATATTATGTTAAAATTCTATTCGTTACGTTAGGAGGTGATAAATCAAAATCTAAATTTACGCATAAAATTATGCTTCCGTGCTTGATTTTGCATGGATAGTAAAGAAACTGATACAGATATTTAATTGAAGATGAATGGGAAAAAAAAGATCGAAAGAGTTACTGAATTTAAGTACCTGGGATCAATTGTATCCGAAAACAAAGATATGATCCTAGAAATCAAGCAAAGACATGATCCTAGAAATCAAGCAAAGACTTTGATCTGATAACCAGAGTTTTTTATGCACCTCAGAAATTAACAAAATCTAAAGCAATAACACGATGAACAAAACTTAGGGTGTATAAAACTGTGGCCTGGCCAGCACCAGACCAACGAATGGGCCAGGGACTTGGATCTTGACCACAAAACATGAAAAGGTGCCCGGGAGAAGAAAATCTTGAGAAACATTTTTGGCCCAGGTGATGGGATGCAAAGGAAAGTTAACGATGAAATACTAAATATTTTTAAGGAAAAGGATATTATAAAATGTATAAAATCAAAAAGAGTTCATTGAGTGGGACATGAAAATAATGGATTGTAACTGAAAAACACAAACAAATCTTTAATGGCTAATGCCATGGGTAACGAAGAAGATATGGCTATATGAGGTTAACCCCAAGACATTAAAAATAAGAATTCAGAAAGCAAAAAGATAAGCCAAAAAGTATTGTAGTAGTACAAATTTGATGTGATCTCTTTACTTATGAGGAAAAACTTAGCTCAACTTTATCACACCATTTTGGCAATAGACGATCAGCTGGGGCTGACGTCATAGCTCACATGTGTGGGTATTTGTGATCTTTTTCTTAAAGTGCAAGTACCCAATTGTTAGGGAGGTCATAGTCCAACATGGACTGTAGTACCAGGAAACATGATTTCGTTTGATTTTGCTTTAGCCCAGTGGTTCCTGAACTTTCGTCTTGTAGACCCCTTGCCATGTTTTTCGGTTTTGGGTTGACCCCCTGCTTACCTGATATTGATTTTATGTAAATTCATCAACTTCAAATGTATTTTTGACAGCTGGTATAATGCTACTCACTGTGAAAGATTTAAATTTCTAACTGTTGTGAAGTGTAGTGTGAAAAACTTAAGAAAAAAAAACATGTCAATTTTATACATTAATTAAATTCAAACTAATTTAATTCAATTAATATGTAAATGGAATAAAATGGTGCACTATGAAACCCGTACTCCGCTACTAATATTGTAATTGCAGAAATACGTTTGTATACAAAGCCGTAGTAGTGTATTGTCGGTCTGTTTATTACGTTTTCACGTAAAAACTAGGTAACAAATCTTCGTGATTTTGTGCGCAGATAAAATTGGAGGTCTAGCTAGCTAAAGAGTTGACACAGGCTATGATACAATTTACCGCAGAAAAATACTTTTTGTAACAAAATACCCTACAGGCAGAAACCCTACAGGCAGTAAAAATAAAAAGGTACACGGGCGGAGCTGCATTCAACTGCTAGTTTATAATAATTCAGTTTCATATATCAAAAATTTAATCCTAATAACTGACATTTTAATAAAATTTTTACTTCATAGCTACTTTCACAAATTATGTAGAATGTAGATAGATATGTTTTGATATTATAAATTATAATGTAAGTAAATAGGTACTATCAGTGTATGTTGATTATTCCATTCATGAAGTGCCAAAATTAAAAGTCACGACCTGTTTATATGAGATCCACTATCGTTGGCCCCGTTTTCATTTCATGAACCCCAAATTTTTTTTCACTTGACATGAACCCCTTGCAGGTTGTCGTCGACCCCTGGGGTTCTATATAGACCACTTTGGGAATTACTGCTTTAGCTTAATTATTAAATTACTTCTTCCGCTTTCTAAAATTTGATCATTAGATTAAAAATTAAAAACGTTATTTCCTCTTTTATTTTACTGTCTGCCCGATATTAAACAACTTCACCGTACATCTTTCGCAAAAGACTTGTTATTATGCTATTTTTGGAAATTTAACTTCCATGTTTTCTAAATGTCTGATAGAATATGACAAAACTTAATACATTCAAATGCCAAATGTGTTTTAGTAAAAGTCCATTACAAAACAGCCGTTAGAAAAAAGTCTTAACAGAATTCCTATTTTCCAGACAATAATTTCCGGGAAATGTTTATCCAACAAGAGGGATTACTTAAGACATGTTTTTATTGTTAACTTTCAAAGATACCGATAAAAAATCGATTTATCGATATACGGCACTCTTAAGATTCGTGACAGATAGATAACGGTTGTTGTAGAAGCTTTTAGAATGCGATAGTCTTCTTCTTTAAGGCTTCATGGTTCGACTTAAAGACTTTTGGTATAAAATGTTGGGAAGACTTTCGATTAAAATGACGGAAATGACTTTTTCTCAAGGTAATCGAAGCTCAAGAGATGGGCTGGATGGGTAAGCAAAACATATGGAAAACTTCCAATGATTCTCACATTTTAAGATACCCATCTGACATTTATATTTATTTTATATCAGTACAATAACGTGTCCGCCTGACTATTTGTGTCGATTGCAAGGTCCATTAAGTTCAGCAAATACTATGAACATTTTTGATCCTATCAAAGTAGGTTTAAGATCTCTAAACACTTAATTTATTTCGATCTTACAGAAGAGTTCATTTCAAACGACCTCACAGGTTTATTTTACACAGCGGAAGTAGTTTTCAGATACGGTAATTCATCAAGGCAAGGTATTAAATTAAACCACGATGGCTTAAATAGTATGCTGTGTGAGAAATTAAGGCAGCTGTCATGCAATGTTGACCTATTTGCCACAATTATATCATAATTTTAAAATGGCAGAACCATAGCCTCCACGACGAATGGCTTTAATGTTTCAAATTTGTAAAGATTGCTTTCTTATTCCAAAACATGATGCCACTTTATAAAAATATGCTTCATTTTAACTTCTCTCTCAATGTTGCAGCGATTTTAAAATACACTATGGTTTTACTACGCAATGGTTTTAATACACCATGGTTTATTGCCCAATTGAGGGAATTTAAATAATAAAGCCTTTAATATAATCTTAAATTTATTGTTATATTGAAATCTTTACTTTTTTTGCTAAACAGCAATGATAATATGGGTGAAATTGGAAACATTTATAATATGCGAACCACGATTTACACGAAAAGAAACGTGTCCTACTTACATGCTTGTGCTTAATGGACGATCCGTGGACTGTGTCCAGCTCGAACTCGAGTATTTTGTGGTCATCCTCGTCTTCATCCTCTTCAGCCAGTGGTAGCAAATAAGGTTCAATTTGTGTGCAGGGAGGATATTCCTTCATCTGTTGTCTATACACTGAGACACACATCCACAAAGCTTAACACTCAACTACCTGAAAAACAAAACATGGTTGAATGGAGGGTAGAATACCTTTTACCAATCTGAAATAAACAGGGTGTTCCGTAATTTATGCCTTTAAAATATATTTTTAGAATACTCAAAGAATAAATATTTAGAATACTTATAAAGAATAAATATTTAGAATACTCATAAAAAAAAAACATCAAAACCAGTTTGATCACTTGGTGATGCTTGAAAGTCCTTCTAGTGATCACCTCCTGAACCAGTCTCTGTTTTTGTTGGCAGTCAAACAGGTTTTTAGTCCAGCAATCTTCACTGGTGATGAGACAAATTTCGATTGAGTTTTATTTTCCTGCTATGAATTTTCGACCCCTGTTTTGTATACTTTTTTGACCTCATTGTTAGCAAAGGCTCTGAATATGTATATGAAGGAATGCTATTAAGGAACACCCAGCATATTGAATCTATAATTTTAATACTTAAAAGAGGCTTAAAGTTAAATCAGTTTAGTTTGTCATAATTGCAGTTCACGTGGCCACATGTAAAAATCTTCCTGTAATAAGATATGTAGGGCCATGATTTATTTTAATTGTTTAAAGTTTTCAACTCAGTGAGTGGCAATGCAATAATAGAATTAAAATTATTAAAAAAAGTTTTATTTGTTGTGAAAAAATTTTACTCCATTTATTGATAATAAGCAAGATGTAAATATAAGTTATTTTATTAAATTGTCATTTGCTTTTAAAAGAAGTTATCTATATATTACTCTGCTTACATCTTCACATAAGAGCCCGACAGATCGTGAGATAATATTAAGATAATTAACCGTTGTCCGAGGGTTTAATATTATCCCATTAGTTGTTTAAAAACAGATAACTCTAAAACACCAGTTCTGCAAAAATAAACTTTCAAATTATTATTTTGACATATCTAAGGATTGAAAAACAATTTGCAATTAGCAAAGCAGTAATGCAATAAGCAATGCCACTATAAAATAATTCGCATTTATATTGTTCATTAAATATTTTAAAAGAGGAGGTAACAAGCAATTTCCTTGATCACAAGGGTAGTGATTAGAAATAATATAATATCAAAGAGCATGAAAATCGCTTGGCTTTACATTATGAAAAAACATTAAAAATGAAAAAAAAAATTGACTTGGCTTACTCATTGGCATGAGTAATTTCCTGACATTTTCGTTTCAACCCTTCATTTCTATCGGGTTTTTTCTTTCATTAAATACACAATATAAGCACATTCAGGGCCGGCGAAAGGGTGATCGCCCGAAGCGCCAGGATAATGGGGCGCCGAACAAGGCCCAGGCTTAATGTTTTTTAAATTATTAATTTCTTCTCTTTTAAAAATATTTGTTTGAATAATGTATTTATAGGTTTTTATTTTTTAAATTATATATTCTTAGATTAACTATCTTTATAATTAGAGTTTTTTTTCGTAAAAGTTTTACTAAAGATGGAAAGGAAAGTGTGCAGCAGAAAAGCCACTTTTTGACCTTTAAGTTTCTGACCTTTAAGTTTAGAGAATCTCTTTAAGCCATTCAACAACAAGGGGTGAGGAGGAATTGCTTTAAATTTCACATTTAAGATTAACATTTATAAGTATATTGACGAGTAAATATAATAACGGGTAAGTAAAATAACGGGTAAGTAAAATAACGGATAAGTAAAATAACGGGGTAATTAAATAACGGGGAAATTAAATAACGGGTAAGTAAAATAACGGGTAAGTAAAATAACGGGTAAGTAAAATAACGGGTAAGTAAAATAACGGGTAAGTAAAATAACGGGTAAGTAAAATAACGGGTAAGTATAATAACGGGTAAGTATAATAACGGGTAAGTATAATAACGGGTAAGTATAATAATGGGCAAATATATTTACACAAATGAATTTATTTATGGGCGAGTGAGAATGAGTTTATAAATTCATAAAAATGATTTTAAACCTACAAATTGTGTTGCGGCAGTCGGCAAGAAATTTCTTATTTCATTTTTTAAAATAATTTTTATCAAAATAGCGACATATTGAATGCAAAATATCTTTAAAATATCATTTAAATATGCATAGAGTGCATAATATGCAAAATATCAAAAGCTGTGGGGAAAGTAGTTATCGACTATACCAACCTTCATCTATCAAAAGGCACCTCTGGATAGAATCGAGGCAACATATCCTATATAGTGAATCGGTATTTAAAAATTGTAGCCACAATATTCACTCTGCAGAATTTTAACAGGGATAGAATTCGATGAAGATACCATTAGGTATTTTATTGATGTTTCTTTTTTTACGAAAGACCGGGAAAGCCGTATTAAACTCACTAGAATTTGAGCGCTGTTGATGATAGCTATATTTAGTTCACCGGCTTTTGAGCGTTAGCCCCAAGAGCGGTATTAAGTTCACGGCTGTACTGTGTTGCTATTAGCAGTCGAGTGTGATCAGGATCTCGTTGTGTGTAATTGAGTCAGGGAGGCCACAGCGTGAGGAGGACAATGTGACGCAGTCATTAATAGCAAGTCAAACTGTTCAATGTGGACCATCCATCGAAGTAGGCGTGGTGATATCACGTCCGGGTCACCAATGTGGGGAATAGTTATCAGCTATGCCAACCTTCATCTAACAAAAGGTACCTTTAGATAGAATCGAGCTAACATGTCTTATATACTAGTGAATCGGTATTTAATAACTGTCGTGGTAGTTACGTCACAGAGTCAAAAACATTTTGTTAGGTATACAATTTTTAATATCATTTAAAAGAATGTAATTCAACATGGTAAAGAATTTGGACGAAATTGGTCGAAGATTATCTGAGAAATCGAATAAAAAAAGTCATATTTTTAAAATTCAATATATTTCCCAGATAGCTGTTATTACATATATTTTAGGTGTCAGAAATCTGAATTCATCGAAAAAAAATTATGTTTATTAAGAGAAGGTTTGTTTTCGTGTTTGATTTCGTAACTTGAAATATCGTCTGCACTAATTAATTGGCATATTTTAGGTCAGATCCTCCAACCAATACGATTTAGTTCTGGAACTTATAAGATCAGATCATTGGATCAAAAGTTATTCAAGGTGGTCCTTTTATTTTTTTTTTGCGCACTTCATATAAATAATATATTTGAGTACACACATTTACGGCTTAGAGCAGTTAAGTCTGATCTTCTGTTTCTCAATATTAAGAAAAGAAAAAAATTTAATAGCAAAATTCTTCCGTATAGGCTTAAAAAAATTTAATATTAGTTCATAAGCTAAAGTCTATTTTAATTACCAAAAAAATAAATAATTTACTTTAATTACCAATTTCAATAAATGAAGACCGATTTTAATTTTTTAACGTAAATACTCATTTACTTCGTTACGCTTCATTTAGTTCTCAAACAGAGCCTTTAATCTAAATTTTTTGCTTAAAAATGTATTATTTTCTGTTTCAGAACCGTGTATTCTTTTAACTAAGAGAAATTTATAACAGTTTAAGTTTTATTTTGACAAAAAAAAAAACCCTTTAAAATTGAAATTCGTTGTTTTATCTATTATATATAATTCTCTTACGTGGCTCCCAAATTTTGGCTGTATTTCTTTTCCGCCGGTGGCAACGTTTGCTTTGTTTTGAAAACACCAAAGCATTCTGCCTTTTAATGATGTGTTTCTGATCTAATATATATAATTCTCTTACGTGGCTCCCAAATTTTGGCTGAAGTACTTTGTACAACTAAATAAGATTCTTTTCACAACAGTTAAATATTTACTTTATTTTCTTCATTCATAGAGAAAACAGTCGGCAAAGAATTCTGTTAGGTTAAAAAACATTTCGCTAAAAAAATAACGAATTCTAAAAGAAATAAAAATAAACAACTTAAAAAATAAAAATGCTGTTGCCAGCCATAGAATTTTTTGAAAGTTAACTTAGCAACATAAATCAAAATGACATAGAAGCGCAACTAGATCAAAATTATGATACCTGAGCGCTTGACGTAACAAATCCTTCAATTCTAAAAGTGTTGTATCGCCAAATGCCCAAATTAACAATTGTGTTCTTAAAGAAATTCTATAAAAAGTTTTAAATAAACAACCTACTTCTACAACTGCTTCTTGAAGAACTTGGCTCATAGATTAAAAATATTGTTTTAATTTTACAGTACTAACTTTACTTCTACTTTCATTATTGCTATGACCCTCTTTCATTACATTTTACAACTTCATGCTAAATTTGAGGACTTTAAGTTGTTTTGTGGTTGAATACTGACATTTAGAAATGTGTACATAAAAAAAATAATATTTAGAGGTTAAGAGTTGCCTCAGAAAAATTTGAATTGTTGACATTGAACTTAACAATGGAAACAATCGTTTTTGTGAAAAATTGAATTGTATTGTTGACATCAAAACTAAAAATATTGTGTTTCAACTTAACAATACTACCTTAATTTATACTTTAGAATTGCCTCGGAGAAATTTGAATTGTTAGCAATGACTTAAACAAAAAGTTTTATTTTAACTGACAAATACTATATTATAATTTTAACTTTTTCTATGACTATACTCATTTTCTTACTCTTTTCTTTGTTTTTTATACATTTTATATTTTTGTGATAAAATAAAAAACTTATAGTTGTTCTGCTTCTGAACACTGATGAAAACACAAAATGATGGGCTTCATCAACAATCAAAAATATATACATTTATTTTACAAATTCCATATTATTAAGGTGGCGCCCTTCAGAGAATTAAAAATACAAAATTATCTTCATCAAAGCCGATGCTTTACATCCGGCGTTCAGTGGCAGACTACTATTTCATATTGTTTTACAACACATGGCTTTAGCCCTCTGGTGGGAAAGACTTTAAAACAAAACTTACAACAGTTACTTTTCTCAACAACTGAAATTTAGAATAGTGTGATTAAGAAAAATATGTGAACTGTTTGCAATTTCAAATTAATATTGAAATGTACAGGTTTAGAATTTTCTACAGTGAAAAGTTTTCGAAACTTCAGTATTCAAAAAAGTACACAAAA